ATAGTGCTCCTACATTTTACATTCAAACGTAACAACAGGTGGGTGCTTGTCTTCTCAGACTGGACATTCTTTTGGGCAATAAGAAATACATCTTGCCACACTGAAAATACAGGATATAGACTGTATTTGGTGAGTTTTGGACGACACTAAAATCCCTACATGTACTTGGTGAATTTAAGCAGCATCTGTATGCTATTATGGCCCTCCAAGCTTTCCATTAGAGGCTGAGGTTGGTTCATATACCATATACATGTATGCCCGCTATCTCAAACATCAGCCCTTGTTGATATTGGCAACCCCCTGGGACTGCGGTGGTACAGTCCAGTTGTGGCATATCAATCAGCAAAGGCAAGTTTAATGGGATAGGGTCTAATCAGGCTGGGGGAGGGGGGCTGTTCCATTCAAAACAAGAGGATATAGGTGGAAAGAAGGATGCATCTGAGAGAAATTTATCCACGTTTCCCCGTATATGTCCCAACTGAGCAGTCATATATCCATACAGGCAGGCTTGGAAAAGAGGAACCAGTTGTGGATGAACGTACAGGTATAGAACTGATTTGATACTCTGTGACGAATCTTACGTGTAACAATAATAGTGCACACATGTACAATCTGTAAACATATACGTATACATGTGCAGAGTTCTCTAGGAGGGGTTTAGCAGGGCGGGCCGCCGTGCCAAAATTCTTACTGCCCTACTATTTTTGCTATTGGATTTTCCCTATTCTCGACCATCTTTACAGCTTATCTAAATGCAAAGAAGTTTACCGCACTTTATGGAGCGAACATGATGAGTTTGCCATCATTATTCAGCACAACTGCATAGCACTTCACAGCAGTGTTTGTAATCAAACCCAGATGCAGTAAACTACCTAAGCACAAAATTCTGGACTGGTTCCAATATCCCGGTCATAGCATTTTCATTTTGTCGCGTCAAGAACCAATATCTCAAATGCGTTTTTTTCCTTGCAAAATACAGCCAATTTCCTACATGTAGTTGGAGATCTTTCCTAAATCTGGATCGCTTAAAATAAAACTTTTCTTCTGCTTTTAAAACTACTTCTTTTGTATTCTACATTCTCAAACAAGTTCAGTTAGGAAGGTGAAATGTAAGTTTCTTGTGCAAAATTTTGTTTTCAAAAACGTCTAGAAAAAAAATTTTCTGCCAGCTTGATTTCAGTTTTAAACTTGTCAAAAATCGCAAGAGCCAAAAAAATCGACAAAAAAATACAGGGTGATAGGTCATTCTGTACGTGTGATTCCAAATACTTTTTTCTTACTTTATAGTCCTATAAACTTTTGCATCGTATGTAGATTTTATCAAAATTACTTTTGGAGTTTCCAAGGGCTTTTAAAAATTGGCCCAAAACTAAATGAACATTTTGTCCTAGTTGTGGATTACACCGTTAGTGTACTCATGAACGTTGCCAACTCAACTATGCGGGTGCAACAGAACTGTACATGTTTGTGACAAAATGGGTTCGTCAACTGTGCAGCACAAGGAACAGTCGCTGATTGCTTGCAGTACAGCTGAAAAACTTGAGTCAAAACTTAAGCAAGTTGTACTTTTTAATTCACTGAAATTGTTACTTATGACTTAATTTTCTTGAAATCAATTAGAAAATCAGCTTGCTACAATGGCTCTAGCTGGCTTTTTATACCAGAAAAACAAAATTCAAAAAAAAGTGTTGTCCCTTTTGACGATCCCGCAGGTCCAAATTAAAAGCTTAGATTTTGAAAGTAATTTTGTAGTTTTTCAAACACAAGGTAGACTACTGACCATATTTATAGGATTTACGGCTGATATCTGACCATGGAGTTATTTTTGAGATCCGGAATTAGGGAAGCATACATCATCCACTAGCGCTGTGCCCAGGTATGTACATGTAACCCCCGAACCAGCATGACCAGTGTTGTAGTCGAGACCATCACAAGACCAGACACAAGACCATGCACAAGGCCAGTCACAAGTAACAGGGTGAACAATGACAAAGGAATGCTTTTGCTGCAGTTCATTTGAATTGTGACTTGAATTCAGACTGGAGGTCTTGTGTTGGTCTTGTGTGGTCCTGTGAAAGTCCTAAGTGGTCTCGACTAAAACACTGCCGAACCACCCGCTTGATATTGGGTTCCAATCAGGAAAAAAAAATGAAAAAAATACCCCAGGAAAAAAAAAACTTTTGATGACCTCCCGATAACAATCTTGCCTTCATTTCAAATGTTACCGTGGGCGAATTTGATTCAAGGAGTCAGAAGAAAGTGCCCAGGAAATACCTTAGATTGCACCACAGGACATCTAGAATCCAAAATGTTCCTACGCCGTAACAGCTTAGCGCTCCTTGCATTGTGGGCCGCCCTGCTATAATTTTAGGCTGTTGAGAACACTGCAAGTACATGTACATGCAACTTGTGTGTGTGAGGTACAGGTACCAGATGTACTCGTACCTGTATCTGGTTACCAGTGTGACATGGTAAAAGGACGAATCAGATTCCATTGATAAAAAAAATGCCTATCTCAAGAATTTAACACGACCAATGCTGAATGAGCATTGCACGCATGTGTAACACAGGAATGGATTTTGAGATGATGGATAATTTTCTTTTAAAATAACACACATGGCACTGCAACCATGTGGAAAAATCTCATAACTTCTATTGGAGGATTTTCATAAGAAAAAAAAAGGAAAAAAATTCAGTGTGCTTCCAATGGACTTGTTCTGTGTCTTTACTGCGCACATGCTGTCGTGCTTGCTGAAAGCACGATCCTGTTTCAGGGGGAGAATGTCGATAATTCTGTGTGCTTCCACGCAAGACAAGAATTACTGGCCACGGGCTTGGGAGCCCCATCGACCCGGAGTTACTTACAGGTGTCCGCTCCGTTATCTGGACAAACCAGATCCCGTTCTGAGCATCTGATGGCACACTCCATGTCTTCTAAAGTGCCGTTTGTAGCAGAGCCAAGATGAGACAGGTGGAAACACAAAAGGACAGCCCTGAAATAATTCGTTGTATTTTTGCATTTGAGACCGCATCGATTCGCAGCAACATTTTCATTAATGCCTAACAGATAGCTGGCCTTGTCCATACTTAATGGCATCTTCAGACAAAAAGCATCCTCTGTATCAATGCAACTTCAGCGTCCTCAATTGGACGAGAGAGAGAAAAAAAATTTTTTTTTAAATATGTTTAATGGAAAAGTCTATTTTTTTAGGGCCCTCTGGACAACTACCTGTATCAACATTTTCAACATCAACCCTACAACTTCTCAGGAACTCCTTCCAAATCCTATCAAAGAAATTTAATTCAAATTAGAAAAAAAGGCTCAATTGAAGATTCATGGAATCCGTTTACTTTCAGAATTTGTGCTGTTTCATCCTGCTTTTAATAGTTTTTTTAAATTTGAAAATACGGAGGGGCTGACTACATGTATTCATACCGAAAGCTGAATCTTTCTTTGCCTTAGACAAAGATTCTGCCACAAGGCTTTTCAAGAAAAATTCAGGCCTTACCAGTATCCATCTCTTTTATGGGATCAATTCTCTGCAAACCCGAGACAATCATTTCAGTGTCCTGGTTGGAATCTGATACTCCTTTTACAACTAAACATAAGCAGATCTAGGCTGGAGCGAAATTCCACTTGTGGCAAATCATGTCACATAAAGATGCCCCTCTTGAGAGATTGTTTGAAATGACCTCCTGCTGGTATTGTAAATGAACAGCCGCACAAGACAGAGTAATTTCCGGTGTGTTTAGCATCGGTCCCTTGGGGGGGGTTGTTTCATTCAGTAATTTGCACGAGACGTTTCCAGGTTCACCCGCATGTGGGTATTTGTGCAATTGCAAGCAATCAAGTGTGCAAGAAAATGGACAATAAAGAGTTTGTAATACCAAACAGATGACAATTACACCATTTCAGATCCTAACAGAAAACAAGAATTAGATTTTTAAAAATTTAAGTTATAATCTAAACTATACTGTACACGTACAAGCACAAGTCCAGACTACATGTACAATTCCAAAACATCAGTTGATAAATTTATATGCAGCTTCCATCATTCACAAATTCCTCACATTCAACAAACATAAAAAAGCATCTCTCCACATCAAAGCAAACACACCGCAGACGCCCCAAAAAACGCGGTTGAGAAACACATTTTATTTCACAACCGGCCCAACGAATGCAATTTCACCAGGATATAAAATTGTAGGCATGAAAGGCCTGTGACTTTTGCCATTTCGCTCCTAATAGAAATTTGGCAAGTGATAGACTTGGTTTACATTGTGGATGCCGGCCTGAACGAGCGTGCACATACGTGAGCATGTGAGGCACACACCTGCAGATGCGCGGTGTATGGTGCTTCACTGCACAATGCACCAACCGAGAAAGGGTGTCCTTATGCTTTGTGTGAGTACAAAAAAATGGCGATAAAATGTCACAAAAACCACACTTTCAGAAGGATCTCCAGGCCTTGACACCGTTACATGTTTACTTCGCCGTTATTCTTTCAAGTAATTTTGACTGGCCAGCTGGTATGCACAAAAGGTACATGTACGTTTTACGGATGGTAAAAAAAAAACCCACAAATTATTTGCAAACATTTCATTTTGTTTCAATTACATGTACACAACTACACATAACAATGGTTTACTGAAAAAGTGATCGATTTAATCGCATCACTTCACTTGGTAAATTCCTCAACTTTACAACCTCCCTCCCATTTCTCCCCATCCCCCGAAAATCTGTCTTTGCACTGTGTTGCTCCCCCATCCCTGTAGGGGACGCTTTTGATTAATGAAAGACGGGGAAAAAGTCATGCCCAAAAGTAAAAGGTATGAATAAAAACAAAAACAACATAAAAATGTATTACCGAACAGCAAAAACGGTGATTTAATTTTTCTAAAATGAACCCCCCCAGAAAAACAAATTCGACAAGTTTGGCTTTAGTCCAACTTTCTTGAGACGACCCAATTTTGGATCAAATTATTTCATGCACTCTCACCCAACACAGTGAACCTTGACTCTGCTAATTGCTGAAATTGCCTGCTGTCAGGAAAGTTACCTGTGTGCTCACTGGTGAGATGAATAGCTTGCCTCCTTGGCGACCGGTTCTCAGGGTGTTCGTCTGTGGCCTGCAAGAGAATAAAGATAGCGTGAGAAAAAAAAATTGTTGGGGACATTTTTTTTTTCCAGAATTGATGGTACGAGATGCAAAGGAAAGGAAGACTTACATGTACAATGCCAAAGAAGTCCATACCGATCAGTTACCCTGACAATATTCCTGTGTCATAGCAGGCCGATACGAATACCATCATTAAAATGTAGCCATCCAACACAAAAAGAGTCCGAGGTCATCTCACCATACCATACGTAATTTCCACAAGGAGATCTTTAGAGGTGACTCAAAAATGTCAAACTACTTTGGCCCGCATGCATAGTTAAAGCCACTAGAACTTTGTTTTTTCCCCGACTGTCAAAGCCCGTTCCTTTCAGAACAACTAACGCACCTGAAGACTTTTTTTTTCAGGTTACAGTTTTCTTTCGGTGTGACCACTGTCTTATTCAAAAGTAGCACTTGGGGGCAAGGACAGGTACATGTACATGTGCTAGTGCATGTACTGTACGTGGTTCATGTATCAATGAAATATCTGTACATGTATGTGGGTCTTTATTTTAAAGTGGGGGCCAATGTGTATTTCAGGGACATCACAATTATCATGACCATTTAAAACAAGACCAGTTTCACTTTCCCTTTTAATTTTCATATGTATTTGTCAATTAATATGTGTTGATTACATTAAATTCATTTACATTAAAAAAAGTTGATTTACACAAGAATTGCAAGGGAAAAACCTCATCGTTTCTCTCTGTTTTTAGTATTTAGTGTGACATTTTTGATTACCTGTTTCATTTGACATTTCATACCCATGAAAAAAACAAATAAATCGTTTATTTTCTAAGTAACCTATCAACAGAGAGATAAATTATGATATCGGATAAATCCCAAATGAAATTCATTTTAATTGAGAATACAGGTGCCGTCATAATCTGATATAACAACGTCACATTTCGTTCCTCCAGTTGTGACGAAGTGAAAATCATTTTTGGCTGTTAAAAACAAACAAAAACCTGTTGCAAATCATTTCCAAAACCGAAAATATCAACTCTAAGTACTTTCCAAAATACCTCCTACTAACTTGTGTCTGAGATCCCAAACATTTCTGAAGATATCACAGTAAATTCTCGTCAAAAAATATTTTGGTTACTCGCAAAATCTTTACGTTGTGAACAAAAAAGTTCTTGCAACTTCCAACGTTCGCCCGAGTCGGGATCATATTGCAAGCCTGCATGCGCCGTCACGTGATCGTCACATGACAAAGACATGCCAAATTCCCGCCATTCCTTCATCATCGAGAAATTTCGATCGAAGTTTTCGCTACATCCTACGCTGTGACAGTAAGTTACGGGTTGCGGGTTTCTTCTCAATAAATGAAGGTAAAATTCCCCTGAAAATTAACGTATTTGCCGAAAAAAGGAGCATGATAGCCACTTAAAACTTACAAATAAATATGAGCGTATGGAAGAAAGGAAACATTTTTCCCTTCGAATCGGAAACGCTTGTCGTTGTCGCCATTTTTTATTTTGCAGGCTTACCCGTATGCTAATGTCCGTTAACAATGTCATGACACGCCGGCCTAGCGGTCCATTCACAGCGTGCTGTGTCAAGTCGGTACATGCGTGCCGCCGATTGTCTTGTGAGCGGCGGAACGTTCGGTGGCAGTGACCACAGGGAAACAGTGCAATGCACATTACACTTCTCGGGAAACAGCCACCGGCGCGCATGTGCCACACCGACTAAGTATGCTGGGGCTATTTTGTGAATGGTCTGCTAGGCCGGCTGTGACCTCATCAACATACATTAGCATACAGTTCACATCACAAAATTGGACGTGGGGATTTTGTTGAACTTTTTGACATAAACACTTCATGACATAAAACTTTCTTCGCATTCCACTTGAATAAAAATGTGAGCTGGCATCTAAGTACATGTATCCCTGCAACTCTGAATTCTTTGAAACTTTCTTCATTATCCAGTAAAGACAGAAGTTATGTTTTTAACTTTCAAGTAGGCCAGTGGGTGCATGACACGTTTTTATAGGCTTACCCGTTCAGTCATGACAGTCAAACCTCGTTAATAACAGCACTTTAAATACAAGATTCTCCTTTAACAAGAATTCTTTTTTATGCCCAATCTTTAGTGTTTCTACATTTTCATAATAAAAGGTTTCTTTTTTTATTCACAAATGTTGAACCCACCGCAATATGTGCAACGTTCGGTGATAACTGTAATGACTTATGACATCAAAATTGCTTCGCATTAATTTCCATTCGTCGCAAATATGGACAGGTATTAGAGTATATTTGTATCCCTAATTTATTTGAAATCACTATTCCTTGACAGTATGTACATATAACAAAATTGGCAAAAGTTGAAAAGAAACCTTTACTAACGAGAAATGACATGCATAGAACCATCATATTTGGTTTCTCTGTTACACGTCAAATAATTTCCTGCACCACTGCACAAATTGAGTCTGTACACGTCAAGTAGTTATTCAAAACAAAAATCATTTACATTTATTGCATGTATGTATTATCAATTACATATCAACAAGTTTTGAATTTGTTTAGACAAGTTTGAAATTTTGACGACCGTGTCACACATTTGGCCCACTATTTAAAATAAAGACCCACGTACATGTGCGGGTCACACATCAAACAGCACATGTAGGCTACAACATGTATCTTACTTGAAACTAGCAAAGTGTTTGAAGAAACAAAAAAATTCCAGAATGCAAAAGGCAGCTTCCAAGAAGTGTCTTCCGAAATGGCATTTCTTAAGGATGTACACATGCAGTGTGATACAGTATTTCCCCAGCTGCTGTCTAGAAAAACATTTTTTTTATGAATGAAAACTTACTATCCAACAAAGAAGTCATTGATGAACAAGTGGGACCCATTAGTAAATTGAAACCACAGACACCTGTGCCTGTTATAGTGTTAAGAGTCAATACCACTGACATGCCCAGAACCTTCTGGCCAATGGGATTAACTTAACAGTGACTGGGGGGCAAGGGTCACTTTCATTCATAAAAATCAAGCTGAGGCGGCTGTTCTCACAATTGGGTGGAAGGGCATTTGAATGAAAGAGGTAAGTGCCCCTTTTGTAATGCAGTGCACCCAAAATGTACATGTACATGTGTACATTCATTCAGCATACACGTGTATGCGTACTACTTCTCCATGTACATGTAGGAACATGAACATGTAGTCCTACATTTACATGAACTGGAACATGTACAGTACTGGTATGTGTACAGCACACCTCCTGTGGCAATATGTACAAAGACATACCATATAATATAACCCTACCAAAAATCAGGTATTTTAAGCCCCCCCAAAAAAGATGTCACTCCTCAGAACCATTTTACAAATATTTCCCAGTTACAGTTATGTTAATTACATTTTATTTGCATCGTTGAATTAATATTTAAAGGAAAGGCACCATAACATCACTCATAAATACATGCAAGTTACTTATGAATTTCTCATATCAGATTTATGACTCTGCAAAATAATAACCAAGTCAAGCACTGTTTACCCACATGTACATGAATGCATTGTTGGGAAGGAGACTTCTCCAAGCATATTATCCCCATGGAAGTAGAACAGCCATCTCCCACTGCACCCCCAATATGTTATGCACCAGGGCCTCCAAACGAGATGCCATGTGCCTTGCCAACTGGCTACACAAAGAAACTTTTGGACAATAGACAGCCAAACTTTTCTGGGGCAAACAAAAGCGCGATCTTGGGTGGCATCTGGCTGGTGTGGCTGTGTACATTGTGTATGGAGTGTAAAAATGAGGCTTCAAACCAGAGAAACTTTACAGATTGTACATGTATATGACAACTTATTACTTCTCACTGTGAAGGTGATTGAAATCATTTCACAAATTGATTACCAGAATTCAGATGTAAAACACAATAAAAAAGGACAAATACAACTTCGGGAAATGTACATTTTCTACATGTACCGGTACATTATTGTAACAGTGTATTTGGCAAGTTATCTGTAATAATTTGTAATTTGACATTTGTGAAACTCAATTCATAATCCGTACGTGTAATTCTTTTCTTCGGCAACATGGCCAAGGTGACATTTTACATAGCGTACGATGTACAGTGCATGAACAGATTAATATTAACATGATTAAGGGGAAGCAATGTGTACCATACGTGAACACATGCATGAGCATGTTTCAAATTCATACATCTGTATTTGATGCAATTAACGCTCATACAAAGCACGGAACGGATCTCAGGGTTTCACGGCAAAACACACGCATTGAACATCTTGATGCAGTGAATTTGAGACTTTGCACGGTGGAGACAACACAAGAAAAAAGACTCTCAGATGCACCTTACCGGAGTGAACAAAGTGGTTCTGATGCCAACCTATTAATGTTTCTGTCTGAGTGCAAAGCAAATGGAGTGAGCTGGGACCAAAATCATGGATCCCACATTACGCACGTGGTAACGTTACAACAATGGTTGTCTCAAGAACAACTTTGCTCCATTTTGAGTTAGTTGTACACTGTACATGCAGTGAGCGATTTCCCCTGTATCGCATCGCAAAATGCGACGTGTTTTGGACAATCTGCGATCCGGTTTTAAAAATGGATTGCAGGGTTTTGCGATACAATATGCGATGGATTTTTTTTATTTTAGGAATTTCGTAAACCTGCTCTTTTATCAGTGAAATAAAGGAAAATGTTGAGAAAACTATCGACTGCAAAAAACGAAGGTCCTGTTACTAGAATCCCCGTGCATGTACATGTACATGTATTTATAACAGCACGTTAGTGGTAATCCTGAAACCATCAGGCATATGAGGTAGCCAAAGAACGGACAACTTGCCACAAAATGGACGCAGCAACACCTTTCCATGAGAATTTTCCGGTGAACATTTATCAAAATATTTTGTTTATGTTACGGACACAAAAAATATGTAAAGATTTAATTATAAACATGGATGTAACACTGGTACCACGACTCAGGAGTCTGAACTG